TGTATCACTTTACAATGCCCTACACTTTGATGACTATTGCAGTTAGGATAAATAAAAATGATGATACTCATTTAACATTAATTAATATAATACCTGCAAATAACTTCAAATACATATACTCATCCATTATTATCATTTTTATTAGGTATAAATGTTAATAAGGAAGCTCAATTCCAAGTCGGCGCATCCAAGCATGTAGTGTAAAAACAAATATACATTAACTCAATATCGAGATTATGCTGGCCATGTGGTTAGGGCGTCAGAGTTCTATTTTGCCGGGCAGGGTTCGATCCCAGTCATAACCAATTTTTTTTTTTCTACTTTATTCGTTAGATTAGCATGTAATTATAATATTGACATGCTATAATTAATCTTTTATAACAATTTGATTTTTTTTTCTCTTTATTCATTGAATTTATTGACGCTAAGTCGAAAAATATTTGAACAGAGCCATAAACTTTCTTTTTGTATAAATACATTGATAATAGCCTGTGTTTAACAACTTATACATCTTTACATGTATTAACAATGTTATGTTATTAACAAGTTAATCATATTATTATCAACATTGTAAAGTAGTTTAAACAATCTGTGGCGAGTTTCGGCACTTTCCCGGCAAGCTCTACCCCCAATCTCTATGCCCAAGCCTGCAGCTTATAATTTTGAGCATATATAAACGTTTTGTAATCATAATAGCTCGGTGGTTAGCGCATCGGTCTTTCATTTTGATGGGCAGGGTTCGATTCCAGTCATGGTAAAGTTTTTTTTTTCTTTTTCATTTGTTAGATTGCATGTAATTATAATATTAACATGCTAAAATGAATTCTTACCAACGATTTGATTTTTTTTTCTCAATTATTTATGTAATTTATCGACGCCGAGTCGGAAAACATGAACAGGGTTATAAACACTTTTCTTACTATAGCTATATGAACGTAGCTTTTTTTTAAGCAATTTAGAAATATTTAGAAGTAGTTGAAATAATCCACGGGGATTTCCGGCACTTCGCCGGCAAGCTCTATCCCCACCTTTCGTACTCAAGCCTGCATTATACAATTTATAAACATAAACATGATGTTAGAGATAATATGTTAGCTCTGTAGGTAGAACACCAAGCTTTCATTTTACCGATTAGGGTTCGATCCCAGTTATAGCCAATTTTTTTTTTTCATTAAAATTTTATATAAATACAATAATTGGTTGTTTGTATAAGTTCAAAATCACTTCCTATTGTCTTTTAAAGACAACACTTTCGAAAAAAGAGAATTCATAGTAACTCGTTCCTCACCCTCAGCTTATTTTCAGAAAAACAAGTTGTTCTCCGTAATTAATTGGAAGAATAATGTAATAAAATATATGAATTGATTTATAAGTATATAAAGTCACTTGAACAAGAAACAGAAAAAAAAATTGCCTATGACTGGGATCGAACCCTGCCCAGCAAAATAAAAGGTCGGGGCTTTAACCACTGAGCTATTATAGTTCCAATTATATAAACGGTGCTTGAAAATTATAAGCTACAGGCTTGGGCACAGAAAGTGGGGGTCGAACTTGCCGGCGAAGTATCGGAACTCGCCGCGGATTGTTTAAACTATTTTTTATTGTTAATAAGTTGTTAAAAAAGGCTATTATCAATGTATTTGTACAAAAAAAGGTTAATGACCCTGTTCAAATATTTTCTCATTTGTCATTGATTAATTGAAAAAAAAATTTTACATAAAAATTGAAATTTAAAACTCATTTTTGGCATGATAAAATTGCAATTACATGCAATTTAAATAAAAAAAAATTTTGCCGCAATTGGAATCGAACATCGTTCGGTAAAATAACTGGCGAACCTTCTGACTATAGAGCTAGCATATTTTCATTTGCTTTGTTTACGTTTAGATATCGTAAGCTTCAGGCTTAGTAACAGAGGGTAGGGAATGTGCTTGCTCGTCAACTGTTCGAACTCGCAGTCTTCTCTGAAAAATAAGACGGAGATAGATAGATATATTCTGTGCTCTGTCTTGCTTGGAACAGATTATTCTGAAATTTGTAAATTTCTTGGTACCCTAGGGCTCCCTTTTTGTAGTGCATCCCTGAAAATTATAATTTTTCGAACGATTTCTCTGTTACCTACTCAATTTCAATTGATATCGAGCTTCGGCTTTTCGCCGCACAACGTGAGGGCGTAAAGTCAACTCCGGGAAACTTTCTGACTTCAGCCCAGCCTTAAGTTGACTGTTCAACGAAATGATAAACATTAAAAAAAGAAGAATTTTTATAATGTGATTGAATATTAAATGATTGAAAATAAAAAAAACCAATTTTAAAAGATTAAAAGAATAAAGCTTATTTTTAAAATGATCATTAGATAAAAAATCTAGGCATCATAGAATTTGATTGACAATCAGTAAGATTATACATTTAATGACTATTTATTTTTCCATCTTACTTAAACAGGGACAGAATAGAATTCTTGTTTATATTCATCTTTAAATTCACGAAAACTATTTATTTTTGATTTTATTACTCCATACCAAATTTTAAGTCTATCTTCTAATAAACCATCTATGACCAACAGCTGCTGCTCCTCACACACACTCTTTAATCGTAAATATTTTTCAATTTCTTCAAGAAATTCAAGAGGATTTGTATCTTCACTAAATTTAGGTACCTTAATATTTGTTTGTAAGTACTGGAATTGACTCACCAAACTATCAATTATTTTATTTTCCGTTGTATCCTGAACATTGTTTTCCTGTACTTGACGAGCCGCCATTTGCGCCTGTTGAGCTTTTAATCTGAACTGCTCCTGCTCAATTAACTGCTTCGCCTGCCTTATTCGTTCCCATACCTCCTGAATTTTCTGAGTTTCAGCCATTTGTATCACATTGCTTTCTTTTTTCTGCAAATTCGAGATCTATGAGAAATTCTATCAATAATATTGTCTCTTGCTTCCCTACTCGTTTCCTGTATTTCAAGTCTTTCTGATTTTCATATTTTCATTTAATTTAATTATTTAGAAAATAAATTTCGACGTCAATTTAAATTAATTACCTTTATGTACAATTTTAAAAACATTAGACAAAACAATAAGTTTTATACAATATCAATTCCAAAATTATCATATAATATTTCAAGCAACACGGTTGGTAGAGTCTATTTTTATTTGTAAGTCTTTGCCTACTCGTCGGGCGCCAAATATGTAATGTTATTTTTTTATTCATAACACACCATTAGTACAAAACGATGAAAGTTAGAACAAATTTCAATAACGAAACATAGAGCATGAATTATTCGATTTTGATCACTTAAGAAATACAAATCAAGTACATGAGCATAAAAGAAAATCATATACATGTTAAACGAAAACGATTTAAATCCAATTCTATTAATAAAATGATAATGATTCAGTAATAGAGCCTTTATGGCCTGACCACGCTGACGCAAAAGGTCACGATTTGACTTAAGGTTACAATGTTTAATACTTTTCATACCGTAGTCGGGAGAATACTTCTCCAGGTAATCCAGGAACCTCCAAAGAATCGGTGAAGTCCTGATCTGGATGTCTGGTTGGTACTCGGTCCCCAAACAACACCCAAGATCAAAGCCAAAAGAGATGAGGTTTCAGAAATTCCCAAAAGAAAAAGGTGTGAAGAAGTACCGTCTGGTAGCCGTATTGCCAGGCCGGCGTCCGGAAGCCAAAAGCCGGTGAGACAAATTTTGCAGATGAATGTAGTGTCATGAGGATGACCCCACTCCTAATGAGAATACTTCGGATGAACTCTAGCGCGGGCTAATTAACATAATATAAATAGGGCACTGAGATAGATTCACTGTAAATCTTATAGTCATCAGTATCTATTTAATCTAATTATTGACTGAAGAAAATAAATAAAATTCAATCATGTTGTCTTTCATGAATATTTGAAGAACATTATGCTATATACTTGTTAGATAATGATTCTTTTTTGCATCTTCAGTTCAATAAAGTTTACTAGATATTGAATCAATTTGAGTTTATTCTGTTGTAAATATTGAATTTTATTTTTATTATGAGAGTGGTAATTTATTTACTTGTCAATATACGGGGAAATAGTTGTAAAGAGTCTCAAAATAAAACTAGAATCTCTCGAATACATCTACAGATTTGGAGGTTTTTAAAATAATTTGTAACAGTTTTTATATTCAGAGTTCTGTCTAAACCTGAGTTGTATTTCTCTACATTCCACTCTAATGGAGTGTTGGAATGATCATAATATATTTAATAATGACAAATGATATCATTAATATGAACTTTTTCATGTTTATAGAGTAATGTGAATGATGTTCGTGCGGATTCGGGACATTATGTTCTTTGTGATTTTGGATCAGCTAAGGCTAAAGTATTAAATCCTACGATTCATGGTGCGACCATAGTAGAAGACGAAAAAAAAACATGTACTAGTTTAAGCTACAGAGCTCCAGAAATAAATAAATCATGTTCTTTCATATTGCCGTTTGATGAGTGGACATTAGTAATTCAATCAGGAAACTTTAATATTCAGGATAGCTACAGGTATTTTATTCTAATTATTATAAAGATAAAGATAATACTTACTTCTCTATTATAACAGGTATAGAAAAGTATTACACAATTTAATAAGATATATGTTAGAACCAAACCAGATTTACGACCTGATGTTTTTGAAGTATCAACAATTGCATTCCAATTATATGGACAAGAATGTCCAGTTCATCATTTAAATGTAAGTTTTACACACATTTAACACCACATTCAATTTTTAATCTGAAAATTTTTTCATAAAATGATAGAAATAAAATTTGAACTTGATAAAATTATAGTAAAAATTATTTTTCATTTTGTTTTCATTTTAAAATTGAAATGATAAATTCAATTTTATACCACCAGATGTTACGACACGTAATGTCCTACTAACCAATCGAAACAACTCTACAATCACGTGGAATGCTTGAACGTTGGCCGGCAGTGTTAGTTGTTGTTTACTTCTCGTTCGAGGTGGATTATATTAAATATTTTATTTATAAAAATTTTGAAAATGCCCAACAAACTGGAAAATAAAGTTTACGATAGACATTCCTATATATTCTGCAAGGAAACCGAACACTTTATGTAAGTATTATAAATAATTTACAATATTATTATAATTATAAAACTCTGGTTATTGTTCGTTGAATTCGTTGATATATTTATTATTATAATACTTTTTCTTCTAAAATGACTTATCAAGTCGTGAATAATTATGAAACTCAATATCATTTGTTCTTTTGTTTTATTAATTTAATAATAGTCAAAAATACTTTCATACAAATGTGAATAAATGATTTTATCAGGAAAAAATTATTTTAAAAACAAAAAATTCTGATACGCAATTGCAGTAAATTTTTATACACCATATCATCATTTCATTATTTTATATAAAAAATAATAAGATTCATTTACTTTGACATTACTTTTTTTCGATAAATATCTTTAGAAATATAGGGATGATTTTTAGATGTTTTGACTTCATTTTTCATAATCAATTTTTTCGTTTAATTCAAATTTCAACGTGTTTTAAAACACAAGTTCTAAGAATTAAAGTGCCGTCAAATGAAGATTAAAATAGAAAATTGATATTAAAGATAACGAAAAGTCATATATAGATCAATTCATTTTAGTTTTTTTGAATTTTTCTTTTTTGTTTTCATACAGAAAAGTGAGGTGTAAATATTATCAAACGCATTCATGCGAAGGTGCAGGCATAATTGAAAACAACATATTCACCCTTACTGCAAATCACAATCACAGTGCAGAATCTACTCTAGCTAAAGAAAATGATCTTAAAAACAAACTGAAAGAGGCTTATCGTAACCAATTACGTTCGACATATGAAATTTATGACAATATTATAACAACGTATGTTTTTCTTTTGTTTTAAAGTATTATAAAATTTATTATAAATATCACAGCTTACTATAATTTAAATAACTCTTCCATTTATAGACAAGAAGATAAATTTTCAGTCCCATGAAGTTCACAAGAAGCCAACATGTATAAATGGCATCTCGACATGAATTTACCTATTGTATCATCAATCAACCAATTTTCAACTGTCCTTCATGATCCAAAATATGCTGAATTAACTCATTATCAATTTGGAGAGTTAAACATTCAATGTTCATTAAATTTTCAAGCGGTTTATCTTCATGACCAATTTTTATTCGATAAATTGTTAGAAAATAAACATAATGGTGTTTTATATTTTCGATCAACACAAGAAATAATTCCTCCTGGTATGAATATAAATCAGTGTTTGACATGTGTCATCCCGAAACATAAACACGTAAATATATATATATATATATATATATATATATATATATATATATATGCCCAAATATCTTTGTCGCCTCCGTACGTAATCCACGCGTCCAAGCCTCTACTCAAATAAATGAATGTTTCAGTGTATAAACAGCATCATAATAGTGTTTAATATATTCTAAACAAAATTATTTAGAGAGGGGTAATTAATTCTTCATTCTGACTTATACAAAAAAATGCTATAATCGAGGTAACTACTTGACTCCACACAGTAAGAAGACTGTCTAGATTCCCATGTATTTCAATGGAACTATTGTACATACGCTCGCGCATCCAGCGGAGTTGCCACAGCTCCTAACATTCAAAACCCAAAGAAATCATACCACCTTTTGGGAAAAATGAGTTTTGCGGATTTCATTGAGTTTTTTGATTGATAAACAATAGGTAAAAAATCACAATGAATGTTTACTAAAAATATTATAAATAAAAAATATTATTTTCTTTAAACTGGATTGTCAAAAAACGTAATTGAGTAAAATTCATTATTAAAATAATTTTTATGGGATCATTAGTATGAAAATAAGAAGAATGAAATTAAGCAACAATTGAAAATTTTGTAAAACAATGAAGGTTCATCAGCTCAACATGAAATTAGTTATTTGTAAAATTAATGTGATACAAATTTCTCAGAGTTTGGAAACAACAAGTTGCAATTATTATCAGTCATAATTTTTGAAATTTTTTTCATCGTTTTACTATTTCATTTCGAAACCTATTATATGAAAGAATCTGTACGTTTCAAAACCGACACGTTCATCAATTTGAAAAAACTTTCATATGTTCAATTGATTGGTTGATTCCATTTTCATAATTTATTTGTTTATGTAAATACGTTAATTTTTTTGAACAAAAAAATTTAATTTGCATTATTAGCTAATTATTTCGTGTAAAATTTAATTCGTTAAAAAAAACAAAGGAACAATTGCAAAACATGTACATGACTTATATGCATGCGCTTTTTACCGCTGCCGTGTAAATCTAGGAGAAGTGGTAAAGAGCAGGCAGAAACATAATAGGTTGTATTTGTGATTGTACTAAATGCAGTGAAAAAAATATTGAAGTATGTAATTTTTAGTATTACTATCACTGTGAATAATTCGTAATCGATAGCAATTTCTCTTTCTAAGGATGAAAATTCTCCACTTCTAACAGTACATCATGCATGTTCTTGATTATTACTTGATTATTTTCAAAATAGTCAAACATAGTTTTAAATGTTTTAAAAAAAGTTTTTTTTTTTTTAAAACATTTTTTAAAAAGTAGTTTTAAAAAAACATTCACGTTTTATTATTTCTATCTAATTTTATGTTAGTATAATGCCAAGATCGCGTTATTTATTAAAATGTAAAAACTATAGATGAAAATAGAGAATAAATGATTTTTAAACAATTTTTTATTATACTATAAATTTATTATCGATCTATTTATTAATTTTCAAGTTGAAAATGTCATTATGATTTTCGAAATTTATCAATTTATTTCAAAAATAAGCTCCCAGATGTGAAGAACAAGTAAACGATTAAATGGAGCGACTTCATCAAGAAGAGACCGATCTTATAGTTCATCTAGTGGTTGTTCTTCATCATCAAGTATTTATTCTCAATTTGACAATCCTATTAATGACCCGTCATATGAAGTTTCGGATTCACATATAAGTGACGTAAGATACTATACATAAATTTTAGTAATCATCTTATCTTGAAAATCAATAAATTATTCAATATAATTTTTAGAATAAAAATATTATCGATGAATTAAACACACAAATAGTGCATTTTTCAATTTTTTGTAATAAAATAACGCTTTTATTTTTCGTTTATAGTTGTAATGTGGACATTATAAAATTTCTTTGGTCAAACAATTGGTTTATTTTTTTAATATGTGGTTGTGTGCGTATCAAATTTTTTTTTTTTTTAGGATGATGAGAGTTCAAGAGACTCATGCAGTGACTTATGTAGTGGTTCTGATAAATCTTACTCTGTAAAGCAGAGTTTACTTCCTGAAAATGCTATGGTATCCAACGAGGAACGCCATGATAACATACAAAAGATTATTTAAGACCAGTTCTATAAACACGGAGAATCGAAAATTCAAAATATTGACGGACATTCAGACGCTAAAAATCAGATTTCAAAGGATCCAATATTGGATTTTGAAAAACCTCAAGAAGTTCAAAAGGCAAAAAAGGTAACAGTTGATTTATCTAAGGCGTTATTACAATTTAGGACTTTAATCAAATTTGATTGTTCAAAAAACTTTAAATTCTGTTACGATTAACAATAAAAATTATAATTGAAGCACTTATAATAGCCTCTTAAAGAAACAGTTTTTTTTCTAAATTATAGTTTCAGCTGACGAGGTATATAGAAGAGAAACGTTTCAAAAGAAAATGAACATTTCGCAAGTTTTGTGAGTCCAATGTGACAAACTTTGAGCGGCATCTTCAACGAAATCATAGTGATAGCAAAGAAATAAAAGATATGTTGAAATATTCAAAAAAAAGTAACGAGAGAAAAAAGATTATTCAGCTAATTAGGAATAAAGGCAATTTTCATAAATATTTAAGAGGAAATGTAAAACCTGTCTCTCTGCTTCGCAAAAACTAATAGCTTCTGCACTTGACTCCAATTATGTAATTGACAAATTACGTGGCAAAAATGAAGTATTTGGAATCATGAGAGCGGACCAAATCTCTATAGTTGCCAAAACGGACACTTTAATATATTTGTATGCTGAAAGATACTTAAAAAAACATAAGAGAAAGCGAATGGCTGTAGTTTGCTTAAATATAATGCGAGAACTGGCTCGTCTACTCATTGAAATCAGAAACATTGAGAATGATCCTAATTTTCAACTGATAAATGCTATACAACCAGACATGTTTGAAAAGGTGTTGGAATGTGTAAAGAAACTTGGTGGATATGACATTGAAACCAATTCATATAAAAAATCAGCGAGTTTGGCAGCCCACTATGGCACCACTTTAAAAGGAGTTTGCGATGTAATTACATATATAATTTCTACTAAAAAGCATTCTTCAATTTTAATGATCCAGAGGAGAAATATAATGCAGTGATACGATTTAAAGAATTGATATCATTTCAGTAGACAACCGAAATCAGCAGCCTCGCGTTCAAAGATCTTAATGAAAAAAAATGGAGTAAACCGGTCATGTTACCACTAACAAAAGAAATAAATTAATTCAAAGATTATGTCACTAAAGTTGCTAATAAAGCTACTGCTATTTTAAAAGAAGATCCTAATAATGTTACACAATTCAAAAACCTTGTCAACGCAACTCTCACTTTAACTGTATTGTACAATAGAAGACGCATAGGAGATGTGCAATACACCAAACTACTAACATATCTTAGCAATTCTTCATTTACGAATCAAGAAGAGTTTTTAAACTCATTGACCGAATCAGAGAAAATGTTAACTAAGCATTACAAAAGAGTAGTGACTGGAGGAAAAGGCAGTCGACCTATTGTAAATTTATTTCCTCAAAATTTGCAAGATTTTATGAATGTCATGTTAGAAATCCGCACTTCAACTCGACTGGTTCCTGATTCTAACGAGTACCTATTTGCTCACCCCAAAAGTGATCGTTGGGTAAGAGCCGATACAACTATCAATCGATTTGCACAAAAATGTGGACTGGACCATCCTGAGCATATAACATCTAATAAGCTCCGAAAACAAATAGCCACGGTAGTCCAAATTTTATATTTAAATCAAGACGAAGTTGATAACTTCGCCCAATTTTTGGGCCATACTACTAAAACGCATGAAGAGTTCTACAAGTAAGTAAATCCTGTATGTCAGATGTTATACAATTTTTTCTAGTACTTGAACTTTAATAGTTGGTTTCTGGTTACTAACACATTTAAGGATCACATTTTTTTTGTTAGACCTCAAAAAGAAATTGTTTAAATATTTAAGTAAGTTTAAAACATTAATGATTTTAATCACAATTATTTCTTTCAGATTATCCGAAGATGTCTACCAAACTGCAAAAGTATCAAAACTGTTGATATTGATGGACAAGGGTATAGGGCACCAATATAGAGGCAAATCACTTAATGAAATTGATATTAATCTTGAAGTAGATGTAGCTGAATCAGAAGATAAAGATGAAGAACCATCACAATCTTTTACAGGAATATCAGTGAGTAATATTATGCCTTTGTCACCACAACCATCTTCGTCAAGTAACAAAAAATGTACGTAATTTCGATCTTTATTTTGTTATTGCGTAATCAATTAATTATTAGATTACTATCAAAATTCTGTTTTATTAAATCTAGCTTCTAAGCAAAGTGGGAGGACTCGATGGAATTCAGAACAAGAACAGGTCGTGACAAGATACTTTAACTATCACATAAAAGAGCATAAGGCTCCTAACAAAGAAGAATGCGAGCGATTAATTGACCAGCATCCCAATTTATTTCATAATGAAGATTGGGTGCGCATCAAGACTTATATTTACAATACTTACAGGGAAAAATAAGACGCTTTTTTTACAACGACAAGAAAAGTTTCAAATTCACTCAATCTCAATTTTCTGCCAAAAATTACTTTCCAGTACAAAGTTATGTAACGCGCACCATTTTGCACTTTAATTACAATTATATTTTCTTGAAAAATGTAATTATTTACTCATTTGAAACAGACAACAATCATTTTTACATGTCTTACATCAAGAATAGAAAAATATATGAGAATAATGAGCTTTCGTATAAAAAAATTTTAAAAGTGCACAAAATAATGAAAAAAATTCGTCAAGTTATTTTTATCTCCAGATACAATATGTTTTATGTCGTATGTCAATTTATTTTATGTACTAACGTTC